CAAAAGCATCAAAACATCCCCAAGTCCCATCATACTCCATTCAATTGCCTTTCAAGTTTAAGATATTCTGTATTTTTAAAAAAGAAAATTAAAATAAAAATTTTCAAATCACACATTATGTATATAAGGTTAAGAAACTGAATACGAGATTAAGAGTGGTGCACTGTGCAGTGAAATACATGCTTTAGGATGAAGCCAAATATGCCAAGATTACATAAAAGATAAGGTTCTAGTTTCCCGGATTCAAAGAGCTACCTCAGCCTTGGTCAATTTTTGTTTTATCGCAAAATTTCCTTTTCTCGATACTTAACAAAGTAGACTCTTGCTGACTTCTCCGTGAGGTCTGATTTTTTCCTGGAAACAGACGTCCTCTTCTTCATTCCAGTGCAGTTTTTACTAAAAGCCCACCTGTGTTAGCCTGACCATCCAGGAGTTCTCCAAATGACTTTCTTTCCTTCCTAAGTAGATCAGCCTCATTTTTCGGAGAAACTGGGGAAGAACAGACATCTTCCAGCCTGCTTTCACATCCTCTCCGAGATACAAGACCCTGGCCGCTGGGGGAAGAGACAGTGGCACAGGGAGCCCCATCTTCTCCAGCAGCTCTGCTAAAGTCACAGGACTGGCTGGGTGGGGGCGACACTGGCAGCTGGAGCCGCATCCCCGTCTGGAATTAGTCTTGCCCAGGCCTGAGAGATGGAGAAAAGCTGTGGCCCAGTGCAGGGCCACATTATGACTTTCAAGGGCCCCAGGCACTTTTGACTTCATGGGCCCGTTCCTCCATAACAGAAATATTAAAAATTACATTTTACGATGGCAGTGGTATAAAAAATACCAGTCCAGCCTAGATTCACTCTTATGCCTTCATTATTATTCTCTTTTTTTCTTCTGATTTTAAAAACAGTCAAAATTAAAGCACTTTGTGGGTCCCTAGAAGCACTGGGAGCTCTAGGCTCTGGACCAGCAGACCAACAATCTGTACAACCACCCTCCTGCCAGAATTGGGAACATAGCCCTGCTGGCCCTGCCCCACCACCCCTTCTCCCTTGGCTGTAGAGTCCAAATCCCTCACCCCAGCCTCACTGTGACAGGGCTGGTCCCTGGGGCCCTGATCTGCCCTTCAGTTTATTCAGGGACAACTAGGAATAATAATAACAACAGTGACAACCTGAAGTCCTGGGGGCCAAGCCCTGCTCAAAGCACTCTACGCGGCAGGCTCTGGGTTCAACCACTGGCGAGCTATGTGACTGCCGGCAAGTCAGTTTTCCCATCTGTGGAATGGACGTAATGCCCCTCCCACAAGGACACTGAGGAATAAAGATATTAACACATGCAGCAGGCTCAGGCCAGTGCTGGTGCAGCATGGCATCTCAGTCCGTGTTGGCAATTACGATTAATCCTAACCCACTGGCTCATTATAATAATTAATTATAGTAATTGGCTCCCGTAGGGGCTGCCCTGCCTCTGCTTTCTCCTCTACCCTAGAAGGCGTTGACCTTGGGCTGAGGACCCCTCGGTGTGAGCTGGTCCGGCAGCATCACAGCCCTGGCAGCATCAGAGCCCAACCCTCTCCCCACAGGGACTCAGTCGATGCTCGCCCACTCCTTCCCCTCCCACAGCAACAAACCAGAAGCCCACCCACCTCCTCCAAGCTTCTCACCCTCCCCAAACACCCCCCCCCAACTCCCCCCGCCACCAGCTGTCTTGTTCTCAAGGGGCTCCTGAAAGGCCAGCTTCCTGGTTCCTCCAGGACAGGCAAGTCAGGGGCTTGGCTCTCTCCTGGTCTCATGTTTCTCCCGGGTTTATTTTCTCCCAGGCATGAATACAGAATCCTTTCTCTCCACCACTTGCTTATCCCATCATCTGGCTGCTACATCCCTCTCAGTGACTCTTTTCTGAGGACTTAAAAGTCTTCTCCCTCCCTGCCCGCCCGGTCACTCCTGCAGTACGATCCTGAGAAAAGAGCAGAGGGCTTTGAAGCCAGCAGGAGCCGGGTTTAATCCCAGCTCCACAACTGACCAGCTGTGTGACCTTGGGCAAGTCAGTTAACCTCCCTGAGCCGTGCATTGTTTATCTGCCTGAAATTACGGAGATGATCTTATTTTCTTTAGCAGTGGGACTCCCCGCTAGAAGGAAACGGGGGTTTTTTGAGGGGTGAAAACTTTGATAAGCCGTTTGAGGTAGGGGGAAGAGCCCCCTACCCGCTTCCCCACGAGAGAGGCTTGAAGAACCAGTGACAGCTGCCTTGGCTGGCCACCAGCTTTTGTTTTGTGACAGGAGTAAGCAGGTTGAGGGGAGGGCTGGATGCTTGGGATAATGGAGGGGATTCTTTGATGCTTGGTAGAGAGAAAGAAAAGGAGAGATGAAACCACTGACAAGGAAAGGAGCCTGGACACCCTGCAGCACCTCACACCCAACCTGTTCAAAAGGGACCCATCATCTCCCCCAGCTGCTCTTTCCCCACCTTCCCCATCTTGGTGGTACCATCCCATCCTGGCCAAATGCCAGCCCAGATCAGCGGTCTGGCCATCTAGACCTAGGGACCCCTCCCCAGAATAATGTTTTCAGCTGCATAAAATAAAATAAAAGGATATAGAAGAAACCAGTTATACTGAAATACAATTAGCAAAATATTCAAACAAATGTGTTATATAGTCATATACGTGCTTCCTCATTAGCATGTTAGATAAGATTCAGCGGAAGCTCTCAGAAGTATTGCCCTTTCGAAGGAGTGCATTTCAAGATATGTGCATATGAAAAACGTGGTTCCTATTGGTGACTATGTCACAGGTGCCGCCCACGACTGTGATGCGTTACCTCCGCTCATATTTGAAAGATATTCTAAATGTCAGTTGCAAGTTAGAGAAATGAAGATGTAACTTCTCCCCCATCCAGGTTCATGGACTCTCTGCATTCTGTGGACTCCACACTAGGAACCTTTGACCTAGAGTCTTGGTTTTTTTCCAACCCACTCATTCCCGCCCACCTCTCTCCTTAGTCAGTCTGCAGGCACTGTGCCTGCATCTCCTATCCCCACAGCCACTGCATGGGGTTGGGGCCTCCCCCTTTCTCACCTCCTGGCTGGCCTCCTCACCTCCATTCTGGCTCCACTCCTCGCGTGCTGCACCCTGAACCCTCATCCCCAAATGCAAACCTGACCGTATCACCCTTTGCTCTGGATTCGTCAATGGCTCCCTATTGCCTGCATGATAAAATCTATAGACCCGTGCAAAGCACCAAGACCCCTACCCGGCTCTCCAGCCTCAGCTCTCGACACTCCTACTCGCCTGCCTTTCCACGTTCCCATTAGTTTGAACTACGTGACGTTTCCAGAATATGCCACGTCCCTAAGCTTTTTCCTATGCTGTTCCCTCCACCCAAAATGCCCTCCCCGAGTTGTCCAACAAGGCAAACTCTTAAAGTTGTTTTCCAAGTCTCAGCTCAAATGATTGCTTCCTCAGGCCCCACCCCACCCATGGGCACCCCCTGGGCAAACGTAGGTGCCCCCTTGCGGGACTCACCACACCCAGTTCATGAAGGTCAACTTGCCACGTTACAAGGGTTTGATGAGTCTCTGTCGCTACAAGATGGCAAACTTCAGGAGGCCAGGACTGAGTCATTTTTTCTTTGACTCCCGCAAACCTAGTACCGACCCCGGAGCCCAGGAGGCCTTCAGTGAGTGTTGGTGGAGTAAATGAATACCATATGAAAAAACAAAACTGATTTCAGGCATAATAAACACATTTAATAAGAGCAAACAAAGAATAACCCATCTCTCGATCTGGAATAGCTGAAAACAGGGTCACGGCGGAAGGGGAGGGAGGCCAAAATCGACCCTGTGCTGTGAGGATCTCTCTGCTTTTCTTTTCTTCCCTTTACTAGTCTGGTTAGATTTCCCACATCCTGGGAATGACAATGCGCATGTTTTGATCTATGCAGCATGCTATAATTTCTTGAATTCCGCTCTCTATTCTTTGAGAGATCCTTCTGTTATATACACATACCTCAATTAGGGGGCGATTATCTCCCTTAGCAAAAGGCTCATCGTTTCGGTTTCATTAAATAAAGAGTTCTTCCAGTGCATGAAGAATAAGATTAGATTTATAGAAATTCAGTTTATATTTGGCTTTTTAGGAACAGATGTCGTACACAGCCAAGCCACTGCTCTGTCAGGCTTCCTGAAGTTATGGTGTACAGGCTCCTTTGACTCCCTTCTGGCAAACTCCTGGCTTAACCCCTTATGACCCGGGTCTGCTGAGGCTATCCCGGGCACCTGGCCACCTAATCCAATGACCTTTGCTTGGAGCCTTCTGTCTCCACCTCCCTGAGTCGTGCTGCCGCTGCTGACCATCCAGTTTTCCCTGAAACCCTCAAAGTCCTTGGCCTTTGTCCACAATCTCTGCTCACCCCACCTTCACCACTGAGATTCCAAATGTGTTTGTTCATCAAGCTTCCTGCTGGCCATCTCCCCATGGAGGTCTCAAGGGCAAATACGATAAAGCAGATGAGTGATGTGCCCACCACACCCAGCAGGCTCCCCTTTCATATCCCTGTGACAGACGCCACCGTCCGCCCATTTTCACGACCACCTCCCTTTCCCTCGTGCCATAAATCCAATCCGTCACCCGCCATGGGGCGTTCGTCTCCTGAATACATCTCCAGCAAACCCGTCTCTCTCTCCCATGTGTGTTAAGCTCCATGAAGCACTGGAACTGTCTGTTTCCATTCATTACGATAACCCTATACTTATTAAACACATGACCTGGCACACGAGACACTCAGTAAACACATGCTGAATCAGAGAACAGGGGAGCAGACAAATCCTACTTTACAAATTGTAACACTGAGGTTCAGAGAAGAGAAGTGATTGGCCCATGGTCACCTAGGTGGACCGATCAGGACTTAGCCCGAGGGTGGCTCCAGCTCCCGCATTCCCCTCTGCTCTGGTCACAGGGTTGGTTCCAGTGTGTTCTTGCCCCACTGCCCGAGGCCCTCTGCCTTACCTGAGAGCACCGTGAAGACCGCCGCAAAGGCATTGAGCTTGAGCCCGTCGATGACATTGCTGGAGTGGAAGAGCTCGAGACACATGAGGCTGAAACCAACCACCAGCAGGAGGATGTAGAGCACCTCGGAGACGACCGACAGCCACAGGACCCCTGCAAGGAGGAGGTAGGGAGGTCGTGAGGTGAGGACGCACAGGGCAGACTCTCCCTGGGTTCGTTCCACCCCACGCCCCTGGGTTGGGGGATCAAGTCGTTTTAGAGAAGACCTCAGTTCTAGGGTGGGTCCTGATCAGGTAAGGCGACCCTGGCCAGCCATCCTCCTCACCAGGACTGGCTCAGGAAGCCCGGCCTAAGTCAGTCGGAGCGTGGCACTCTCAGGATGACAGTTACTGGTTCAGGGAGGCATGTGACCAATAAGCGGGTCCATTCAGATTGGAGGGAGGAACTTCCATCCTGTGGCTGGATGGGAGGCTCTCTTTCTCTTCTCATCTGTTACATGACTGCCACTGGGAGCCATCTCATGGCCCAGAGAGCACCTGCCTTAGAATGAAGCTGACACTGGGTGCTGAGCAGAGCAATGGAAAGATGACCTCACTGGGCCACGCAACCACCAGCCCCGAGGGCTTCCCTGTGGCTAAGCTGGCCAGTATGATGTTCTCTGTTACCTACAGCTATAAGCATCCCAACCCTTACACACATCATGCTTGCCCTCAAGGTACACCTACATTTTTATTTACCCTGTTCCCTACTCCACTTTTTTCTAGATACCACCACTACTATTCCCACAGCTTCAACCTTGTGGTTCTCTTGGGAGCTGCCATGTTCTGCTGTGGTCCCACCCCACTGGGCACAGCTAATTGATCCAATGTGATCACGTGACCTAGAATTGGCCAGTCAAAGCCCTTCTCTAGGAATCTGTGCTTGGAACCCACTGAAGTAGACAGGAAGAGAGGCCCAGATGGGAGTCCAGGCACTCTGTCAGTATGAGCGACTGGTTCCAGCTGTTCCTGAAGGCCAGCTGAACCCCATCCTGCCAGTGTTTCGGCTATCCAAAGCTTCTTTTTATTCCTTAACGTAGCACAGCTCCCTCTTCCCCCAAATTGGGTTACCATCATTTGCCACCTAATTTAGGGGGCATCTTCTATTTCTCCCACCCTACATTATTCTTCCTTCTTCCTACATGCTTTTTATTGGAAGAACCCCTTTCCTCTCTCAGTCTGTGCAGTTTAGTTGCATCAGATTCACACCCTGGCTCCATGACTCGTATCTGGCCAATCAGAACTCCGTGTCCTTCTGACTCTAGTCATTGGTTCAGGAATGAACCTCTCTATGCCTCAGTTTCTTAACCTATTAAATGGGACTAATAATAACTCCTATCTCATAGTATTGTGGTGCTGCGAGGATTCACACAGCAACGTAATGAGCTTGTGCTTAGCATATAGTAAGAGCTCAGTTCATGGGCGTCATTACCACTGTTGGATGCGAGGAACACGGTGGGGCCTGGAAATGGAGCTGAGGGGTCCTTGAGTGAGGTCAAGGTTAGAGACGGTCAAGAGGCAGAAATGACACTGTGGGAGCAGACGTGATTTCTGAGAAAAAGGGTGGCGAGTAAGAGGCGGAGGACATCATGTGACTTACCCTCCAAGCCACGCTAACCATAGGTTTTGAGAAGGGACTATGGATGGACCAGGCCTGGCCAGCCGGAGATGGACACATGACCCAACTCAGTTCAATGAGTCAGGCACAGGACTTTTGCTGAAACTATTGGGAAAGAAAATTCCTTTTTTCCACTGGGTTTGAGGCTGGGAAGATGGAAGGATGGAATTGACTGCATCAAGTAGCAAGGGCCTTCCTGCGGGCAGAGCCAAGGCCAAGGAAGGCGGCACCAAGAGATGGAGGAAGACCATGTCCTGTGACGTTGAGCCCCCAGATCCAGCCATGCCTACAGCTGCCAGTCATTTGTTCTTTCAATCACATGAACCAAGAGATCCTTGTCTTTGCCTAAGCCGGTTTGGGGTAGAACTTCTGTCTCTTACAACCAACAGTCCGGACCTTCAGTTTTTCTTTTCTCGGAAGCTGCCCTTCCCTACCTCTCTGCCTTTGCACAAGTTGTCCTTTCCACCTTAATGCCCTAGGGATGCCCGATATACACCATTCAGTGAAGGAAACAAACAAACAGCAATGTCTGAACCCCGATCTATTCTCTGATGAAGAATCCAGATTCTCAAACACCCACTATCATTCCTAATGCAACGGGGCTTTCAGAGCTTTGAAGAACTTTTTTCTTTTCTTTTTTTTTTTTTTTTGCTACAAAAATATCGCATCTCCTGGGCAATCCCTTGGATTTCTGTAAGAGAATAATGTGCTCTTGGCAGCCTGGATGTTGTTAAAACATCCCCTGGCACCGTACGCTCGTAGCCTCTGAGGCCCTTCGCTGGCCCGAGGCCCACCGGGCAGCGAGGAGGAATGCAGGAGGTGCAGGGTGAGCTGGGCCATGCAGGGGTGCGGCTGCCCTCGGGGAGGCCTGCTCTCCCTCCCAGCAGCCTTCACCTCCAGCTGCTGTTGCCCTGCTGGTGGGCGGAGCCTCACCAGGGTGAGGCTCACCGACTCAGCTGACTCCCCCGCAGTGCCCCCGCTCCCCCAGGGGATGCTCTCATCCTGCCCAAGTGGGCCCCTGGCCAAGCCGCCACCCCACCCACCACCCCTCATAGCAGGGCCCAGCTCTGCTCTTTCAGATGGGATGGAAATGGGGGACTGAGATGCTCCAGGAGTTAAGTTAATCATGGAGAAACAGACAGTGGAATCTCAGCTGCATGGCTGGGGTTATGCTTCTTATTTCTGCCAGATTTATTTCCCTGTCTAGCCACTGGGCTCAGAGCATCTGTCTGCAAGTTACAGCCCACCTAAGCCAGAGAAATTAATAACTATAGTAAGAAGCGGAACTGTTGCTGAGGTTATGCTAGTAGCAGCAACGATGTCACCGTAAGGGCCAAGGGATATTAGGTGTTTATCACGGGCCAAGTCATACTGGACAATGTCAATGTTCCACCCAATGTCCCTGCACCTCTTTTTAGCATTTCTGTCTTTGGGCAACTGGACTACATCTTGCCCATATTCATTCAGAAAGTGCCTGGAAACTTACATCTTCCTCTCTGTCCTGTTGTCAACCAGTGGCCGACTGGGGTAGTCCTGCCCCATGGCTCCGGTGGAGACCACCCTGGGTGGTGACCCACACTGCAAAGCTCCCTCAGGGCCCAAACTGAAGCTGCCCTCTCTGGGCCCTGGCCTGACATCACCCCCTCACTTGCCTTCCTCCCTTCCCCGTTCTGCTCCCCTCAATCCCCTTACCATTCTCCTCCAGGGCATTTCCTTTATAAATGACTTGCACATGGATCCTCAGAGTCTGTTTGCAGGGACTCTGGCCTCAAACACCAGCATTCACATGCATGATCTCCCCCAGTCTCCCTGACAACTCTGCAAGGCGGCAGTGCAGCATCCATATTACAGATGAGCAAACTGAGGTTCAGAGGGATTAAACCACTGGTCTACACAGCTGGATAGTGAGTGATATAGTCAATCTGGGTTCAAACTCAGGCCTCTCTGACTCCAGAAACCATCATGGGTACGGAGGTTGTAACCTATCAGGATAGAATGGCCACTCTGAAGTCATATCGGGGGAGTTGGGTTCCCTGGCGATGGCTCTCATCTATGTGCACTCCAGCATCCCAAAGAATTCTTGCATCGGAATTCTTGCAGGAAGATGGCCACGGAGTGGGATTATGGTGGGGCAGGGGGTTCTCAGTGATCCTGAGCCCAGCTGGCCACCAGGTGTGGTGGGGAAGGAGGTCGCAGGGAAGAGCAGATGGGTCTTGAGGATGCTGGTGACTCAGGCTGGGACCTAGGACCTGGGGCCCTTTTGCTGCAATGCTCGTACCCGGACAAAGTCTCTTCGAGCAACAAAACACAAAGAAACTATAAAGGACTAAAAATAATTGTGCGCATTGGCAGTTGGGGCAAATTATGATTATGGAAAACAAGATACGAAAAGACAAAAACCCCAACTGCCGGGGCTTCCCTGGTGGCGCAGTGGTTGAGAGTCCGCCTGCCGAAGCAGGGGACGCGGGTTCGTGCCCCTGTCTGGGAAGATCCCACATGCTGCGGAGCAGCTGGGCCCGTGAGCCATGGCCGCTGAGCCTGCGCGTCCGGAGCCTGTGCCCCGCAACGGGAGGGGCCACAACAGTGAGAGGCCCGCGTACTGCAAAAAAAAACCCAAACAAACAAAAAACCCCCAACTGCCACTTCTGAGGAGCCAGGAGCAAAAGCACAGTACTGCGCATGCCCCTGCACACAGCACCACCAAAGGGGTGGGCAAACCACCTAAGCCACGCCTCTGGCCCGACCCCTGGACCCGCCCCTGCCCTCACCCCATATAAGGAACCAGCTCGCCCCCCCCCCCTCCCCCGCATCCCAACCCCACCCTCACTCCGGGAGCCAGTGAGCAAGGGAAACTAACTGTTGCTTGTTTTCGCTCCCTCTTGTTGCAGCAGGGGCCCCGGTAAAGCCTTGCCTGAATTTCTTGTCTGGCCTCTTATCAATTTCTATTGATTAAGGAGGCCAAGAACCCTGGTTGGTAACACTGGGAACCAGGCTGGAAAAGATGGGTTTGACCCATGCTGCAGAGGCAGGTGCAGTCCTAAAGGGCTTAGCAAGGGAAAGACACGCAGGGAGGCTTGCTCTGGAAGGGGGTTGGCTGGAAGACCCGGTGGAGGTTTGGGCCACGCTCCATGAAGAGATGGTGGTGGCCTGGGCCGTGGCAATGATGGGGGCGGGGGTGAGGACAAGTGGGGAGCTTGATAACTCCAGAGGGGTGGGCTCAGTGGACTGCTGACCCATGAATGCGATGGCAAAGGAGAGGGAGGAGTCCAGAGTGGGGCCATGTTTCCAGCGCAGGCGTCTGAGCAGACAGTCATCGTTCCTCAGTGAGAATGGGATGATGCTAAAGGTAGGAAGGTGGTGAGCTCAGCCACTCCTACATGTGCAGAGTCTGCAGCAGCTGCAGGACCTCCAGTGGGGATGTGCAGGAGGCAGCTGGAGCTCAGACAGGGATGTGGGAACATTGGCAAGACATGGGCACTCACTGAATGTTTGC